TTTTTTTGTGATGTAGGTAACCTGTTCCAGTGCTTAACCAGCTTCAGAGTGAGAAAGTTCATCCTAATAGCCAACCTATATGTCCCTCGTTGGAATTTAAGACTATTACTCCTTAGTCCTGAACAAGTCACTTCATCTCTGTAACTTCCCTTCCCTTCCCTTTATCTATACAAGAAAGAAGATACATTTCCCTACCTCATAGTAAAGAAATTCATTAACATTTGTAAGGTACTTGGATAGTGCAGTGATGGCCCTTATACTTATTTTTCACAGGCTTATCTTGAATTTGAAGGAGTAACTGTATAGACTTGACCCTCCCACCCACCAAAAGAAATACCAAAAAAACCCTATGCGGTCCAGGATTTAATATAAACAAGTTTCCTGTTAACACCAGAATACTGTACATAACAAAGAATGCATGTTAACTAACCCACTAGTGGCAGAATTTTGTGCACACATGCCAATTCAGAACACAAAAGGAAGACTTAGATCATGCATTTCTTAATGTGGTCTACAGCAAGGGTATTAACTCACTCTGGAGTAGACTTTCAGTTTTTCATTAGAGCCTTGTGCTGATATACAAACTTAAGACAACAAAGTGCTTTCAATCCCAACAGATCTCCCAATTGTGCTCAAGGAAACAATGTGCCTTTTATACAGAAGCTAAAGTTGTAGTTATTTGTTCATATGTATGTATGAAATTCATAATCACTTGGTTCACATTCAGAATCTCCTTTTCAGACCAATGCTATTTCTGCCCTTTGTTTCTCCTCTCTTCCCTGATTCTCTTCACGGTATGCTCCCATCTAGTCTTATGTGTATCAGCTCATTGTCGTTGAGACAGAACTTCAGTGTTCAAGAGCTTAAAATGTATAAGTAGGGCCCAAAACTTGAAAACTGGACTCTGTACTAACAAATTTTGCATCAAGTCATCCAGCCAAATTATTAGTTGACAGGTCAATGACAACAGTCATCTAATGTTTTTATGTGGTTTTAAGACTAGCAGAACTCTTCTGTGGACCCACCTATTTGCATCCGCAAGCCCCCACTCATATTTCTACTGAGTGGAATGGCAGGTGGAGCACATTATATCTAATATAGAGCTAGAGGCAGAAGGATACCATGGAGAAATGGAAAGAGGATAGAGAAGATTCTGAAAGGAGAAAACAGCCTCAAGTTTTGTTACCTAATGAAGCCAAATATCTCTAAGAGGTAAAAGAAGAACATTAGTTTATGTTCTCTGTATTTTAAGGGTGCTGTAGGTCAGGAAACAAAAAGCTGAAAGGAACCAGACTTTCACTGAAACTCACTCAGCTTATTTACAGAATTAAAAATCAGCAAGTATTTTTAACTACCAACTATGGTCATATGTTTTGTGTGAAAAGGGAATGAAGGGTGTTTCATGATAGTAGACTAGGTTACCAGAACCATGTAATTTGGTACATAACAACACAGAATACACAGAGCCCTATTTATGCTAATGGTTTACTTTACGTCTCATAACTCAAAGGTTTAATATGTTCTCAGTTTTGCAAATAAGCTCCCAGTGGCCCCAGTCTTAGCTTCAATAAAAGTCTCCCACTGAAACGTTAGCTGTTAGGGATGATCCCCTACTTCATTCAAATTGATTAGAATTAACATGGTGTTATTAGTTTAGGAATTCTAAAAAGCAAGAATTCAGACACAAATGGAAGAGTAAATTTTATTGAATGATGAAAAACTAATTATGGCATCAGCAGCAAATATTAATGTTTGAGCTTTGCTGGAATACTAATTTTCTACTTTTTTTCTTTAAACTAACAAAGTGCAACAAATTAGAATATTAGTCAAACCAGTAGCTGTTAATTTCTTTCAAAAGACTGCATAGTTTAGCAGTTGTACAACAAATATATACATTTCTGCAAAACCCTGAAGATTTTATTTTTTTTCCTTTTTTTTTTTGCTTTGAGCTTGGTGTGGCAAGTGAGATCACCTGCACTGGTCAGATTCTGAGTTTCTTTTCCCTTTTTTCCCACCCTGTAGAGGAAAAAAAAAAAATCACAGCAAATAGTTAGCAAATAAAAATACAAACATGACATTTTCACATATTTAAGTAAGAGATAAAGAAGTAAGGATTTGGGGATTTTTTCCCCCCTAAATCTTTAACTTATCTGGCATCTTACATGCAGACACCCCTCATGTAGTCCTATAAATTAAATTAGGTTGAAAGACAGTTTCTGTCTCAAGACACTTGCAACTGAAGAAAAAACTAGACATTATAATTAAGGATTACAGAAAATGTTCTCTCTCGTTTTTGAGAGCATAAAATCTTCTTGGAGAAGATATGTTTAAAAACAATATATGAGTAAAGAAAGTGGTCTTCCGCCCTTGACAGGGGGAGATTTTCTATAAGGTGTTTGCAAAAGCAGTAGGCAAGTGATTTTGATGGGCAACCTAGGAAAAAAATGGAATTGTGAGATTCCCCCCAAAAGAGGACGAGCTTCAATTCCGCAAGCAAGGAATAGACAGAAAGGAGATTTAAATGAGAAAGACTGAATGATACAAAAGGAAAGCAGCATTTTGAAGAGATACAGAGGGAAGAAAGCAAGAAGATGGTTATCTTTTTTCACTTTCACAATAATTCAGAAGTCAAATTATTTTTGTAGCAATGGAAAATGGATTTTGGAGGTTTAAAGAGAGAAATTAAATGACTAGCAGTAGCATGACTGAGTGAAAAGCTACATTAAATGAAGTATGAGCTCATAGAATCATAGAAGTAGGGTCAGAAGGGACCTTGTAGATCTTCAGGTCTGACCCCCTGCCTGGGCAGGAGAAAAAACTGGGCTCAAATGATCCCAGCCAGGTAGGCATCAAGCCTCCTCTTAAGACCCCCAGGGTAGGAGTCAGCACCACTTCCCTTGGAAGTTGGTTCCAGATCCTAGCCGCCCTAACTGTGAAGTAGTTCTTACGGGTGTCTAATCTAAACCTACTCTCCAACAACTTGTGGCCATTATTCCTTGTTATGCCAGGGGGCGCTAGGGGAAAC